ACCCCACAAGCTCTAACACCTGTTTATCTACAGAGGCGTAGTCACCTCAAACTCCAGTCTCTGTGGTTGCGACGCATTAACATAAACCTATGTAGCTAACATAAGGTAATACACCAAGCGGTGAACAGTGACATACTCCACCTGACCCCACGAAAAAAGCAGAAGTTAAGCTCAGAAACAGGTGCTGAACTATAGCTATGCTACCAGGACGGAAGCAATTACGTTCACATTCCTTCCGTTGCTTACGTAAATATCTGGAACCAAATACAATCACGGCTACGTGATTCACAATACGCGAGGTTTCAAGGGAGTACAAAAAGTTGTGTGTCTAGCTAATATAATACGCCTTTTCAACGGCTACGATTCGGATGACTATCATTTTGAGACCAGCCCAGATGAAGCATAGACGACGTCTGGGGCTGCTATACCACATCATTTTACGATCCTTCTGGTCTCGATACAACTAAGCACCTCGGGCTTACAGGTCACCCTCAACTACTGATGTCTCACTCAGCCTGGTCTGTTAAAGGCCGATGCCTGCGCGCACCCTTCAGCACTCCGTTATTCTCTTCTGTTTATCTTTTCCGAAGGTATCCTACTTGTCCCCATCCTGTCTGCAGCAACCATTATACTAACTGGCCTTGCTACGTTTCTGGCTATCTGGATACTTCCGCTTCATGGCGTCATCCATACCTTCCTATGCATTTTGGTCGACTTCTCCACCGTGAATATAAGGGCCTCCTGCATGTCCGGCAACTTACGATCTATGGGCCGCGGACTTCTCTGCACCAGAAATTCTAATCGCTAGCCTAGCTACCGCACTCTCTAATTATTGGCTTTTAACCATCTCCCTAACTCACTTTGCTCTTAAACTACAGTCTGTAAAAGTATAATATAGCCTAAGTCTGAAGGTCCTTATGCTACCCTTATCATGAAAGCATTCCTGTAGGAGCCAATCGGTAGATTAATGCCTAGAATTGTCACCGTCAATGGCCAACCTAGAGTTCATCTAATAAAAAAACTGCATTCACAACCCCAGGAGGTCTCAGCTGTATAAGTCGCACGCACCTTACTGAAGCTAAGACTAGAATCCTGAATACAAAGTGCAGATAGCCATTCCTGATTAGGTCCTGACTCGTTTCGTTTCCTCCACTAACACTTTGGTTTAAAGGCTGCAAGGACCAACTAGTATCTAGACCCCTCCAACCTCCCTTCTTCAATGGCCACTTTGTCAATGTTTAAATATCAACCAAGATACTTCCTAGCCCACCGACTGACTGCTTCGCATATCCGTAGGTATTGCTCATATGGGATATGGCGTGGTCATAACCAATCAATTTAAACAGACAAACTGCAGCCCTTCTAGCTTACTACACCTTCATTACTCAGCCTTCAGTTTTACCTTTTATCACTTTCCAAATGCTTAAGCTACTGGGACCGTGAAAAACTAGTAGGCTTATGACCTTTGCTGCACGCCTAGTAAGGGCATTCTATCAGCCCCAATGCTTGTATAAGGTTTTAGCGCCTATTATTGCCGTCGATACACCTGACACTGAAGATAGCATTAGAATCGTCGAAGCATTCTCTAAATACCAGCTGTAGCCTTACATCTATACACCTTCTTGGATGTCAGTTGCTAGTTGGCCTTAGTTGATGCGTTTACATTAAGCTCGATTACGCGATACACTACGCCGCCCTGGCCAACTATACTCGGTGTGCATACCGCAAAATAATGTATAAATATATATATTCCTTCTGACCGATGATGTGACCACTATAAAAGCTACAGGCCCGAGAATCCTGGCATTTTGTCAACCACTCAGCCTCTCTTAACCCCGTACTCATAGTTATATCTGTTATACATGTGCCGATCACTGTCGGAAACACTTGTAGACAGACGGCGTGTGAACCAGCTCCCCTTCTACAACCGCTTTTGCTAGTAACACAAGCGCAGCTGTAGATTCAATTTCACTGGCACGGTATCTAACCAGCGACAATAAGGCTCCTTTCACCCTAGCTGGCTGAACACCCAGAAAATTTTGAACATCACCGCCTTTTCTCGGCCGTGCGTGCGTTAGTTTAGCTTTAACCCGGCTCCGCAGCCCAACGTGCGTTATGCGTAACGATGGGTAAACAACCAGCTCCCACCCTTTTGCCTACTTTCCTGCGCTTCATTTATCTTAGCCCTATTTGCTAAGGGCACTAGCACAGCTCTCTTCAGAAAAGTCATCCAGGCTAATAGCTGAGGCGACATTAGAGTACTAGTTAATCATGCCACAAAAATGAACGCCGCTGGCACTCGTTTCAGTACTTAACATCGGAGAGAAGAAGCTCGAAATTAAGTGGACAGGTGCACATTAGTGGGTGTAAACACATGGCACAATACGTCCTCATGATCGCGCAATCGCAACCCCCACAAAAGAGAGTGGTTAATGCCTCAGCAAAGCAGACACGAATAGATATTACGCCCCAAAGCATTTTTTCTAAATTTTCCGATACTTCTTTCTGTTTTATTAACGACCGGCTCCTCTAGCCCACTGGTGTTGGTGACATAGCCTTATGGATAAAGGAAATAATCTCAGAGATAAAACTTGCAATAAATGTCTAGCAAATATGTGTGTCTTTCAGGCCAATGGTGGCAAATGATCCCATATGTCCCCTGTATTATCCAGGGAGATCTGGCTCATGCAGTCTTATTCTAAACTTGCAACCACGTAGGAGCTTTAAAAAGGTTGCACTTTATATTCATAAGGGTTTATGTGACTCAGTCTCCTCTAAAATGGTACACTAAGGCCTTCTGATCGTGGGCCAATTACAGGCTTTCCTGAAGTCTCTTGCATATAGTACAGTTCTTACACATTTCTTAGCAGTTTCCTGAAACCTTATCACTCGCTTGCCTACATTTGCCTTGTAAGCCTGAAACGTATGCTTTTCGGCCACTTACGTCGCACCTAGTTATGGCGGGGAATTTTAGACAATATGGCGCAGTTCTAGATTGTTTGGTTTAGTTATAACTTATACCGCTTAGCCACATTTTACGTTTCCTCTTTTTCTGATGTCTGTTTGAAAAGCAGAAAGTCATTTTTAGCGAAAAAGCAAAGGCGTTAATTGTAGACCGCCATTTGACCGTAACTAACTCGCTGACTACTGCATGTATTGCAGTGCTTTTGCTTTTAAAGTACTCAAAGCTTAAAACTTGTTCTGAATAGCTTACTGTTGTGCCACATTTTGCAATATTCTAGCCTAAGTAAAGGTTTCCATTTTGCTGAGGTTGACTCACTTTGAGTATTGGCACCAGCCATCAACTTTAGCGCAAGTACTTTTGGTTGTTTTTCGTTAACTTTATTTCTGTAGTTATTTACGCCGCCGTTGTATGTCTTTGAATCCAAAGCGTTATATTTCTATTTGGATTACTAGAAATCATTTTTTAACTTTTTTGTTCTTTTTAATTCTTCCGCTCTTGTTTCTTTCCATTGCGTACCAATATTGTGACGACTGATTGCGCCGAATTACTTTAACGAATTTATAGTGAAGTGCATGGTGAATTGGATGCTACTTCCATAGAAAACGTGCACAACTACGGCTCTGCGCAACTTTTCGCCAGTAATAAACTTAAGGAGCACACATATTGCCTGAAGAAGCCAGCTAAATTTCAGGTACAGGGAAATTATAGAAGATTTCGCAGAGAGTTGGATCCTACATAGAAAGAAAACGTGCCCTGATGCGGCTCTGCACGACTTGTGGTCAATAATAAAAGCAAGGAGCCCAAGATTTCTCGAAGGAGCCAAAAGCTTCACGGTTGGCGCGTACGACCCCTTCAACTGGACGAGTACAAAGGTCATGCATACGTAATTGTGAAGAAGGAAAACAAGCTCTCACTGTTTGTACGCCTCGTGCGAAATCATAAATAAATGAATAAATAAATGTTATTTATTACTCGTGACTATGCGAGGCACGCCCTTGGGGGCATGATGAAGTATGTGCAACGGTACAGCCATTTTAGTGCAACAGTGACAATGGAATACTGTTCATACCTTCATGATTGGAACTGTACAATGTTGGAAACATGAATCAATAATTGGGGTGACACGAGGTCGGGACTTATGCTAATAATAGATTAAGCAGCCTGAAGGATCAATCAGAACATAAATTAAGAGCAAGCACGGGAGAGGTGTGACAGTGTGCGGAGTCCGTGCTTACATTGAATCATTGAATCATTGAATGATAGAGAGCAGAAGGAAGTTCCTTTGTCAGCTCCGTCACTTCCCGATCGTTTCGGAGATAGCCTGCGTCATTGCGGAACAAGGTCCCACAGAGAAGCGCTGAAGCTGCATTGGAAACAGCTGGATCCCCGTAAACTAAAGTGAGAGTCCAATAAATGCTTGACACGTTCCTCGGTCTCGGCAACGACGATGGACTCCGGAAGGCGGTTCCAGTCATTCACAACGCGAGTGGATAAAGCCAGGCTGGATCGCACTCAATCACTCCTCGGTTTGAACAGTTTCAAACTGTGGCCTCTTGTTGGACTCTCTGTGTTGAGATGAAAGAACTCCTGTAATTCCCTCACCAACTCTCCTCTAAGAATACGTCGGGTGAAGATCAAATCTCCGCGATGACGACGGTAATCCAGGGAAAAGAGGTTCAGTTGTTTGAGTCGGAGAGAATAGGACAAGTCCCGCAGCTCAGCCACAGATTTGGATCCACGCCGTTGAACCTCTTCAATCATATCACATTCAAATTTCGTAAGAGGGTAGGCGGCAGGTAGCCCGTATTCCAGAAGCGGGCGTACATGTGAAGTAAACAGGAGTCGAAAGATTCCCGGGGTCAGGCGAGAGAAAGCTCTGCGTATAGAGTGAAACATCCTGTAGGCCGCAGCGACCTTTTTCTTGGTATCTTCATTAGATTTGAGGTCAGACGAAAGTACCACACCCAGATCCCTCTCCTGAGTGGCGTTTCTGAGCAAGGACCCACCAATATGATAGATTCCAAATGGGACAGACGCACCAACTGGGAGAACTGAACACTTCTCATGATTCATTGGCAACTGCCACTTAATTGACCAATCATGTAGCAGGTCGAGTGTCGATTGCAACCTGTCAGCATCTTCCATACTGGATACCTCCATCCACAGCTTCAAGTCGTCAGCGTAGATTAGGCAATCCGCCTGGAGTGTTGACGGTAAGTCATTGATGAAGATGTTGAAAAGCACAGGGCCGAGGACCGAACCTTGTGGGACTCCACTAGTCATGAGAACAGGGGCGGAAAATGTATCGTTTACTTGCACCTGCATCGTGCGGTCGCGAAGGAAATCAGAGATCCAGGAGAGAAGATTCCCGGCAATACCGATTCCTCGGAGTTTAAGCAAAAGTCGTTCGTGCGGGACCCTGTCGAAAGCTTTGCTGAAATCCACAAACACAACGTCCAAGCGTTTGCCGGAATCTAGCGATTTCGCCCATTTCTCCTTAGCAACTAGTAAGTTCGAGGTACATGAGCGTGCCCTTCGAAAACCATGCTGTGCACAAGAGAAGAGATTCAGTTCCTCGAGGTAGAGATGAAGAGTCTGCTTCAAGATCCGCTCCATAACTTTACATAATATCGACGTTAAGCAGATAGGACGATAGTAGGCTGGATCTTGCCTGTTCCCTCCTTTGTAAATGGGTTTTACAATGCCCACTTTCCAAGCCGACGGGAGACGCCCAGCTTCAAAAGAAAGACGGAAAACCTGACAGATAGGAGGGGCGATGTACTGCGCCACAATCCTAAGGAACAGGGGGTGCAAGCCATCCGGGCCGGGTGAAGAATGCGGATCTAAATCAAGGAGAAGTTTAACCACAGAATTGATGTTAATGTCTACTTGAGCAAACTCATAAGTAAAACTGGACACAGTGTTGTCGCAGGCGGGAGTTTCTTTCGTGAAGACAGAGGCGTACTGCTGGGCCAAAAGACTGGCTTTATCAGCGTCTTCGTAAAGTAAATTTCGATGTTCAAAGGAACACAAGGTGGGGATGCCACTGCCAGCCCTGGTACTTCTTTTTAGATAAGAGAAAAGCATCTTAGGTGTCGTTCTGGAATGTGCTGCTAATGATAGTTCATATTGCGGACGTTTCCGTCGCTTCAACGCGACACAAGCATTTCTGGTGGTCTTGTAGGAAGAGTAATCGAACTCTGCAAAGGCCAAAGGTGAGCTCGTAGAGTAAAGCGATGGGAGTATATGCGTGAAATTGTATAAAGTGGAGATGACAATATATGCAGAGATAGAAGTTCCAGGGTAATGTACGTACCTAGATTGGAGACGCTAGTTGACCTGCCAGTGTGACGATAAGGAATGTGCCTTAATTCCGTGGCGAGCCACCTATGCCACGATGCAGTGTTGTTAACCGGAGATTTGTGGCTTTTTATAGGGAGAAAGCTTGCCAGGCGAAAACCCACCACTTCCAGAAACACTGCCGCCGATCCATTAAATGGCAAGCTTTAACTGGTTGTGTTCCTTATTGAGCCTTTATTTTCTCGGTTATTCGCATTGACATCCGATGTTGATCCTTGTAAAAGCAAAGATTGCTCTCGCTTTTGCTTCATTTCTTTTTGCAGAGGCAAGGAGAGGCGATCAAAAGTCGAAGTGCCGGGGGCTCTGGTTCGCTTACCGGTACAAGAAGCTGGACGCTCGTTAGGCGGAAGCCTGTATCGTCCACGGATTTTGACCTGACCTGACCTGACCAAGTTGCGTCCCATTTTTCCTCTGGCTGATGCGTTATCTGAAAAAGCCGCATCAAAATGAAAAAGGCCGCTTTCCTGAGAGCGAAGGATGTCTGATCATCGTAAACACCCCTGAGTCTAATAAGGAATCCTCGGCTGAAAGGATATGGGAGGACCAAAAGTTTCTGAGGCGGATGGTTTCGCTACTGTTTGTTGCTGAGGAAAATGGCATAAACTACGTTTCCGCTTTTCGCCTCGGCAGGAAACAGGATGACTCCTCGAAAGTTCGCCCCATAAAGGTGGTCCGTTAAGCTGAAGAGGACTGCCGCCGTATCCTCCAATGAACCTCACGTTTGAAAGTGCACCATTCTACGTTTGGGGAGACCTCTGCTCAGAAGATCGAGTTAAAATGAAGCAGGCCGTTGGTGAACTACAAATCCTACGCGCAGCTGGTTAAAGCGACCTTCACATTGTGGATTTCCAAGTAGTAAAATGAATCCCGAGGACTCGGTGGAGACCAGTTTTTGTTCTTCCGCTGCACTGAGAATCAGGAGTGGATTGCGTGTAATGTCGGCGAACGTGCGTAGCTTGAGAAACAAATTGGATGCGGTACTGCTCATAACCGCGGAGCAAGTACCCTATCTGATGGATTTTACGGAGACTTGGCGATCCTCGAATATTTCGGACTCGGAGGTATTTATTCCAGCGTATCAGCTATCCCGTGCGGAGCATTTAGGAGGGAGATCCTGGGGCGGTGTTGCAAGTTACTGGAAGTCAGACCTTAAAGTCTACACAGTGGAAGCCAGGTGCGATCTCGATGGAGGATCGGAAATTCTTTAGTGTACGGTTCACGATGGGTTCAGGCCGCTCACAGTCGGCGTTATCTACAGATCACCCTTGGGATCATGATTCCATCCGCCAGACCCTATGGGGATACACGGGGGAGGCAAAGACTGCTTGGTTGTGGGTGCCTTAAATGCTCCGGCCATAGACTGGGATGCTCCATATTGTAAGTTATTTCCAGATTCTTTTAATACGCGTTTATTAGAAATAGTCCTCGAATGTAATCTAACGTAACGCGCTTTATCAGCTACCCGTTTTTCCATACCATGTGCCACACCTCCTTGAACCTGTGGTCACACCTGGCTCCTCAGACGTTTCCGCTCTAGCCATTTTTCAACATCTTGGGAAAAGAAATCACTGTGTTGTCCGCTTTTTGTGGACACAACAGTTAGCTATCAATGTCCAAGAAGTGCACCGCCGAAATTTCTGGCGTGCTGACTCCTCAGCTTAAAATTGGCTGCTAGCCTCATGGACTGGAACATCCCTCATCAGTTGGATCTCGATGCTGCTTGGGACCTCTTGTGCTCCAAGGTGATGCTTAGCGTTGAACAGGTTGTTCCAAATGTCACAAAACAACTTTTTTCCAAACGGCCCCAAGGGATAGATCGGGAAATCAAATCGCTCATGCTAAAAAGGCAAAATCTTTGGGGCCGGTTCAAGTTCACTCAGACGGCCCAACATTACGCTCATTACAAAGAGGTTAGAAATTTATGCACGTTGCGAAGGCGCAAAAAGCGGGAATCATATAAGCAGTACCCGGCCGAGCAATCTGTGATTAATCCGAAGAAACTTTTTGCATACTTAGAAAGAAGCGCAAAGGCTGGCAACGGTTTTCCCGCAGTGTATTTAAGGGAAGGGTGCACCGCGCTTCATGCTGACAGGACGAAAGCTTGTCTACTAGCTTCGCAATATTCCTCTGTGTAAACGACGGAGGCGCCATTAGTCGTTGAGGATACTTCCTGTCACCCCTCTCCATTAGAGCATTTTGAAATTACCACTGACAGAATACTGCAACTGCTTCTCGACTTGAAGATTAATTCTTCACCGGGTCCAAATGGCCTACATCCCTTGTACCTCAAAACGGTGGCGGAGTTCACTGCTGTACCAATGTGTCAGGTTTTCCGAAGCTCCATTGAAGCAGGCCGTCTCCAACTAAATGGGAAGCTAATGTTGTGAAACCGATGTACAAAGATGGGAATCACCAAGATCTAGTGAACTACCGACCGAGTTGCCTGTCATTAATCCTCTGTATAACCATGAAAAGTATTTTGCAGCATGTCTTGAATCTTCCCTTTGATAAATTGGACGTCATCTTCCCTGCTCAGCACGGATTACGGAGGGCAAGTTCTTGCATTACCAATCTGCTTGTCGTCCGAAAAGTCGGCGCAGTCAGTGGATGCTGGTCATTTCCTTGATGTAGTTGTGGTGGATTTAAGCAAGGCGTTGGATAGCGTTCCACACATGCGACTTATTAGCAAACTTCGGCAGATTAGTATCGCTGGTAATTTGCTCGCCTGGATCGCGGATTTCCTAGATGACCGTAATATGAAGTTGAAGGTCAACGAAGTTGACTCTGGTCCTGTTCTTATGAACAGTAGGATTCCACAAGGCTCCGTTCTTAACTAAAAAATAAATAAATATTTTATTCTCGGCAAAGCGAAGCATGCCTTTTGGGTATGATCAGCATATATGCAATATTGTACATGATAGCATGATTAGAAGCACCGAAAGCGGGAGTAGTACACATGGAGTCAGTAGTGTGGGCCCATACGGCCCAAAGGTTGTACGATGTCCATGTCCACAGAATGCGAGATGTAGAGATGAGAAATCAGATCACAAACGTCGTGTATGTTGATGAGGAACTAGTCCGAGGAGGTTGTGTACACACTGTGGGTCAAGTGAGTGAAGCATGAGGAAAGAGCTGCAGGAATATTTAAGCATAATGGCATGTAACTGATCAAATACGTAGGCGTGTTCTTAAGAGAGCAGACGTAGGCACAGAATTTGTAAATGTGGTATCGGTCAACTTGCCCACGTGAGTTTGGGGCGATGACTTTATTGAGTGGCGAGTCACATCCGCCACGTCGCAGTGTGGTTAAACTGACAATTGTGGCTTTTTGTAGGGAAATCGCTTGCCAGACGAAGACCCACCACGTCCAGGAACACTGCCGACTTGTGATATGACATTGACAAGATTGCCTCTGACCGATAACCCACGCGGATGTTCGTAGTCAAGTTTCACAAAATTGTTTCCCATCTGAACTGAACTGGTTGTGTGGTCTCCTTCGGAGTCGACCGCAAATGATTGCAGCTATCCAAGTTGGAAGACTCAGGTGACTTGTATTGATTTGGTTCGTGTTATGGGTTCCTTTATTTTGTCAGCATTGCGAAGTGCAGGTGACTTCACTGTTCTGTGTTGATGCCGTGTCCAGGTGAGCTTCGCAGGTATGTCCTCAGGTGTAACGTGCCGGTAATGTTATCCTTTAGAACAAGGCAGAAAAGGAAAACGGACCGAGCAAACTGCCAAGGAAATGGAATAGGACTATGTTAAT